TAAGCTATCGGTAATGCAGACTCGTAATGTGAAAGGCATGAATGTGCAGAGATCCTTGTCATTCAGCGCAAGCGCTCATTTGTCGTCGACAATTTCTTTGAGGAAACACCTGCAAACATAACTATTTTGCCACTGTCAGTCACTGATCAAATGTAGACAGCTCTAAGTAGATTTACCATACTTGTCAGCGACTACCAATTACAGAGAAATCTAGCAAAACTTTGAGTTAACATTTTTATGGCATTTCAAAGATCTTCAAGAAATCGTCTGCTGAGCAGCATTCTATGAAAACAGCTGGTAATCACAGAGAAGTAGCTCTTCAAAGACACAAGACTNAGTAATCACAGAGAAGTAGCTCTTCAAAGAGCACAAGACTGAGCTCCATGAAGTCTGCCTTTATTTTTCATGGGCAAGAAATAGGTGACAGGAGTACGGAACTTTAAACTTTGCTTCTTTTACTTTCGCTTGTATAGATCAAGTATGTCGGTTACAAACATCACCCACCTAAATTTCTCAAAAACATTGTAAAGAAGTTACGTACCTTTTGGAGAGATATTCGGAAAAGTATAATATATGTTACGCTTGTTCAACATTAAAAGCAGTCAGGGAAGGTAGTGCACGAAGCGATACAATGATTTCAGAGCATGTGGGGTTGGCGGTTCTCAAACCTGTTGCGCACTGAATGGATTTGACCGCATTTTCGGAGGCCAGCTTATTCTCCTAATGGATAACTTAACGTTTTTTCAAATGAAGTTCGACCTACGAATATAAAATTTGGCCACTTGGTTCTCAGCACGATTTTTAAAGGATCGCTCGAGTTGGAAAGTCAGTGAAAAAAAATTCAGCCGCCTACCACTTTCGTTGTATCTCATAAATCGGCTGCACTTATATACTCATCATAGGTTGGTGGCGGAGTTTCAATGTTGGCGGGATTCGTGGCCACCCTGGAATCACGGTTGTGTATGTATTTCACTAGAACCAGCATTTCTACATTCTACTTAAGTGCATCCGAAAGCGCCTAAATACTCCAAGCACATGCCTGCAGATCAGGCTTCACCTTACGGTTCGCTGGTGTTACATATTTAACGTTAGTTGAATCAAGGGAAGGTTCTACGTTTACTTCCTTCCTAATTTTTTTTAGTCGTTCAGTTGCACTGATCTTATTTGGTAGTCAGTGACTATCAGCGATCTTAAGAAGAAAGAACGTACCGATTTTCATCGATGAGGCGGTAGACCTTCTTTCTGTACTTCCGTAACTCTTTGTCAAATCGTAGCTCACGTTCAACGATCCATTTATATATGTAGTAGACCATGTAGAGACAGAGTAGGTTCAGAATAACCAAAATCGTTATAAGTAATGAATAATATAGAGCTTCGCCAGGAAACTGAAATACTGTCCTAAGACTGGAGAGCTGAGTGTATGCTGGATGGACCGATACGGCATCTCAAATCCTAGATGGCCCTCATCAAACCTCAAAAAGACTGCAGTCATTTTTTGGACGGAATTTTTTGAGTTCGTTGTCATCATCCATGTGAACAAGCAAAAAAAATACCCAATGGTCATAGCTCATGTAAATTGAGCCTGTGAGATTCCCTTAATTTCTCTGACAAATTCCTTGTTAGTATTATTTTCGAGTGCGAAAAGAACCAATTCTGTCCGTTGTTAAGGGAAAAAAGTGAAAATAATTGCCG